GATGGTGGTGGGGGTGGACTGGATGGTGGTGGGAGTGGCCTGGATGGTGATGGGGGTGGCCTCGATGGTGGTGGGGGTGGCCTCGATGGTGGTGGGGGTGGCCTCGATGGTGGTGGGGGTGGCCTCGATGGTGGTGGGGGTGGCCTGGATGGTGGTGGGGGTGGCCTGGATGGTGGTGGGGGTGGCCTCGATGGTGGTGGGGGTGGCCTGCATGGTGGTGGGGGTGGCCTGGATGGTGGTGGCATGGATGGTGGTGGGGGTGGCCTGCATGGTGGTGGGGGTGGCCTGGATGGTGGTGGGGGTGGCATGGATGGTGGTGGGGGTGGCCTCGATGGTGGTGGGATTGGCCTCGATGGTGGTGGGGGTGGCATGGATGGTGGTGGGGGTGGCCTCGATGGTGGTGGGGGTGGCCTGGATGGTGGTGGGGGTGGCCTCGATGGTGGTGGGGGTGGCCTGGATGGTGGTGGGGGTGGCCTGGATGGTGGTGGGGGTGGCCTCGATGGTGGTGGGGGTGGCCTCGATGGTGATGGGCATGGCCTCGATGGTGGTGGGGGTGGCCTCGATTGTGGTGGGGGTGGCCTCGATGGTGGTGGGGGTGGCATGGATGGTGGTGGGGGTGGCCTGCATGGTGGTGGGGGTGGCCTGCATGGTGGTGGGGGTGGCCTGGATGGTGGTGGGGGTGGCATGGATGGTGGTGGGGGTGGCCTCGATGGTGGTGGGGGTGGCCTCGATGGTGTTGGGGGTGGCCTGGATGGTGGTGGGGGTGGCCTCGATGGTGGTGGGGGTGGCCTCGATGGTGATGGGCATGGCCTCGATGGTGGTGGGGGTGGCCTGGATGGTGGTGGGGGTGGCCTCGATGGTGGTGGGGGTGGCCTGGATGGTGGTGGGGTGGCCTGGATGGTGGTGGGGGTGGCCTCGATGGTGGTGGGGGTGGCCTCGATGGTGGTGGGGGTGGCCTCGATTGTGGTGGGGGTGGCCTCGATGGTGGTGGGGGTGGCATGGATGGTGGTGGGGGTGGCCTGCATGGTGGTGGGGGTGGCCTGCATGGTGGTGGGGGTGGCCTGGATGGTGGTGGGGGTGGCATGGATGGTGGTTGGGGTGGCCTCGATGGTGGTGGGGGTGGCCTCGATGGTGTTGGGGGTGGCCTGGATGGTGGTGGGGGTGGCCTCGATGGTGGTGGGGGTGGCCTCGATGGTGATGGGCATGGCCTCGATGGTGGTGGGGGTGGCCTCGATGGTGGTGGGGGTGACCTCGATGGTGGTGGGGGTGGCTTCCATGGTGGTTGGGGTGGCCTCGATGGTGGTTGGGGTGGCCTCGATGGTGGTGGGGGTGGCCTGGATGGTGGTCGGGGTGGCCTGGATGGTGGTGGGGGTGGCCTGGATGGTGGTGTGGGTGGCCTCGATGGTGGTGGGGGTGGCCTCGATTGTGGTGGGGGTGGCCTCGATGGTGGTGGGTATGGCCTTGATGGTGGTGGGGGTGGCCTCGATTGTGGTGGGGGTGGTCTGGATGGTGGTGGGGGTGGTCTGGATGGTGGTGGGGGTGGCCTCGATGGTGGTGGGGGTGGCCTCGTTCTGGAGCCAGCTGTGACTCAGTGCCTGCTCCGGTGTCATACAGACCCACAGAGACCCATACTCAGAGACCCTGCACTGAGCATACAGAGGGCGTCTCACCGTGGATCCGTAGCTCCAAAGGCCTCGCTGGTGGTGGGGGTGGCCTCGATGGTGGTGGGGGTGGCCTCGTTGGTGGTGGTTGTGGCCTCGCTGGTGGTGGTTGTGGCCTCGCTGGTGGTGGCCTCGATGGTGATGGTGATGGGGGTGGCCTCGATGGTGGTGGGGGTGGCATCGATGGTGGTGGGGGTGGCCTCGATGGTGGTGGGGGTGGCCTCGATGGTGGTCTCGATGGTGGTGGGGGTTGCCTCGCTGGTGGTGGGGGTGGCCTCGCTGGTGGTGGCCTCGCTGGTGGTGGGGGTGGCATCGCTGGTGGTGGGGGTGGCCTCGCTGGTGGTGGGGGTGGCTTCGATGGTGATGGGAGTGGCCTCGCTGGTGGTGGGGGTGGCCTCGCTGGTGATGGAGGTGGTCTCGCTGGTGGTGGGGGTGGCCTCGATGCTGATGAGGGTGGCCTCGCTGATGGTGGGGGTGGCCTCGCTGGTGGTGGCCTCGATGGTGATGGCGATGGGGGCGGCCTCAATGGTGGTGGGGGTGGCCTCGCTGGTGGTGGCCTCGCTGGTGGTGGGGGTGGCCTCGATGGTGATGGGGGTGGCCTCGATGGTGATGGGGGTGGCCTCGCTGGTGGTGGGGGTGGCCTCGCTGGTGGTGGGGGTGGCCTCGCTGGTGGTGGGGGTGGCCTCGATGGTGATGGGGGTGGCCTCGATGGTGATGGGGGTGGCCTCGCTGGTGGTGGGGGTGGCCTCGCTGGTGGTGGGGGTGACCTCGCTGGTGGTGGGGGTGACCTCGCTGGTGGTGGGGGTGGCCTCGCTGGTGGTGGGGGTGGCCTCGATGCTGATGGTGGTGGCCTCGCTGATGGTGGGGGTGGCCTCGCTGGTGGTGGCCTCGATGGTGATGGGAGTGGCCTCGATGGTGGTGGGGATAGATTCGATGGTGGTGGGGGTGGCCTCGATGGTGGTGGCCTCGATGGTGGTGGGGGTGGCCTGGATGGTGGTGGGGGTGGCCTGGATGGTGGTGGGGGTGGCCTCGATGGTGGTGGGGGTGGCCTCGCTGGTGGTGGGGGTGGCCTCGATGCTGATGGGGGTGGCCTCGCTGATGGTGGGGGTGGCCTCGCTGGTGGTGGCCTCGATGGTGATGGGGGTGGCCTCGATGGTGGTGGGGATAGACTCGATGGTGGTGGGGGTGGCCTCGATGGTGGTGGGGGTGGACTGGATGGTGGTGGGAGTGGCCTGGATGGTGATGGGGGTGGCCTCGATGGTGGTGGGGGTGGCCTCGATGGTGGTGGGGGTGGCCTCGATGGTGGTGGGGGTGGCCTCGATGGTGGTGGGGGTGGCCTGGATGGTGGTGGGGGTGGCCTGGATGGTGGTGGGGGTGGCCTCGATGGTGGTGGGGGTGGCCTGCATGGTGGTGGGGGTGGCCTGGATGGTGGTGGCATGGATGGTGGTGGGGGTGGCCTGCATGGTGGTGGGGGTGGCCTGGATGGTGGTGGGGGTGGCATGGATGGTGGTGGGGGTGGCCTCGATGGTGGTGGGATTGGCCTCGATGGTGGTGGGGGTGGCATGGATGGTGGTGGGGGTGGCCTCGATGGTGGTGGGGGTGGCCTGGATGGTGGTGGGGGTGGCCTCGATGGTGGTGGGGGTGGCCTGGATGGTGGTGGGGGTGGCCTGGATGGTGGTGGGGGTGGCCTCGATGGTGGTGGGGGTGGCCTCGATGGTGATGGGCATGGCCTCGATGGTGGTGGGGGTGGCCTCGATTGTGGTGGGGGTGGCCTCGATGGTGGTGGGGGTGGCATGGATGGTGGTGGGGGTGGCCTGCATGGTGGTGGGGGTGGCCTGCATGGTGGTGGGGGTGGCCTGGATGGTGGTGGGGGTGGCATGGATGGTGGTGGGGGTGGCCTCGATGGTGGTGGGGGTGGCCTCGATGGTGGTGGGGGTGGCCTGGATGGTGGTGGGGGTGGCCTCGATGGTGGTGGGGGTGGCCTCGATGGTGATGGGCATGGCCTCGATGGTGGTGGGGGTGGCCTGGATGGTGGTGGGGGTGGCCTCGATGGTGGTGGGGGTGGCCTGGATGGTGGTGGGGGTGGCCTGGATGGTGGTGGGGGTGGCCTCGATGGTGGTGGGGGTGGCCTCGATGGTGATGGGCATGGCCTCGATGGTGGTGGGGGTGGCCTCGATTGTGGTGGGGGTGGCCTCGATGGTGGTGGGGGTGGCCTGGATGGTGGTGGGGGTGGCCTGCATGGTGGTGGGGGTGGCCTGCATGGTGGTGGGGGTGGCCTGGATGGTGGTGGGGGTGGCATGGATGGTGGTTGGGGTGGCCTCGATGGTGGTGGGGGTGGCCTCGATGGTGTTGGGGGTGGCCTGGATGGTGGTGGGGGTGGCCTCGATGGTGGTGGGGGTGGCCTCGATGGTGATGGGCATGGCCTCGATGGTGGTGGGGGTGGCCTCGATGGTGGTGGGGGTGACCTCGATGGTGGTGGGGGTGGCTTCCATGGTGGTTGGGGTGGCCTCGATGGTGGTTGGGGTGGCCTCGATGGTGGTGGGGGTGGCCTGGATGGTGGTCGGGGTGGCCTGGATGGTGGTGGGGGTGGCCTGGATGGTGGTGTGGGTGGCCTCGATGGTGGTGGGGGTGGCCTCGATTGTGGTGGGGGTGGCCTCGATGGTGGTGGGTATGGCCTTGATGGTGGTGGGGGTGGCCTCGATTGTGGTGGGGGTGGTCTGGATGGTGGTGGGGGTGGTCTGGATGGTGGTGGGGGTGGCCTCGATGGTGGTGGGGGTGGCCTCGTTCTGGAGCCAGCTGTGACTCAGTGCCTGCTCCGGTGTCATGCGGAGTTCTGGATCCCACCTGGGGTGGCGGGGGGGGGGGGGATGGTGAGAGGGGAGGTGAGGATTTGACGTTCCCATCTGTACGTGTGTGTACGTGTGTGTGTGTGTAATGGAGAGCGGTGGTGCTATGAACCCGGCAGAAACCCGAGTTAGATTCCTGCTCATGGCCAACACCATTGACAGCGATTCTATCATTTGAAACGGTCCTGGGCCTCCCCTAGGTCGACTCAGCCTCAAATGAGTACCTGGTTTAGCGGTGTGTAAACATCGCCACTGGCGAGACAAAGGTGGCCGGGCGTGGTGGTGCTGGCCACCCACCTCCTCTGTGTGTGCCACAGTGCCAGTAGCCTTCATAGGCGGTGCTGCTACTCGCTACTGATAACATCACTTGCCCCTATAGCCTGTTAGAGGCAACACGGGGATTTTTGTGTATAGGTGCTGCTACTCGCTACTACTAACAGCACTTGCCCCTACAGTCTGCTTGAGGCTACATGGGGGGTCTTTGTCTGTGTTCTTACTGCAGGCAGCTGCTAATGAAGGCCACCAGCTGAGCTCCACATCCCCGTAGCACCAAATGCAGGGGGACACTTGCCGGGAGTCGTTTCCTGGCCGGGCAGTGAGGCTGGCCGGCCTCGTCTGTAGGACAGAGACAGAGAGATATACATACACACACAGAGAGAGAGATGGAAATATAGACATAGAGACAGAAAGAGAGACACACAGAGAGAGCCACGCACAGTGTCACCAACCACCACATCACCCACCCACCCACCCACTCACCCACCCACATACCCACCAACTCACTCACCCACCTACCCACCCACTCACCCCCCTACCCACCTACCCACCTACCTACCCACCCACCTACCCACCCACCCACTCACCCACCTACCCACCCACCCACTCACCCACCTACCCACCCACTCACCCACCTACCCACCCACTCACCCACCTACCCACCCACTCACCCACCTACCCACCCATCCACCCACCCACCCACCCACACACTCACCCACCCACTCACCCACCTATCCACCGACCCTCTGACCCACCTACCCACCCACCCACCTACCCACCTACCCACCCACTTACCCACCTACCCACCCACTCACCAACCTACCAACAACCTACCCACCCACGCACACACTTATCCACCTACCCATCTACCCATCTACCCACCCACGCGACAGTTCTTCATCGACCCACCCAGGTCGTTACTGAGTGGGCCCAAACCCCCAGCTCTTCCCTCTCCCTCCCCCCAGGCCCCCCCAACCAACACACCAGCACCATCGCCACCACCAACACCTCACCATCATTACCTCACCACCACCCCACCACCTCACCACCAGTACCACCACCTCACCACCACACCGCTACCCCTACAACACCACCACCTCACCACTACCACCTCTACGCCACCACCAAACCACGACCACCACCTCACCACCACCACACCACCACCACCTCACCACCACACCACCACACCGCTAGCCCTACACCACCACCACCTCACCACCACTTCGCCACCACCATTGCCACCTCTACACCACCACTACCACCATATCACCACACTGCTACCCCTGCAACACCACCACATCACCACAACCACTACACCACCACCTCACCACCACCACTGCCACCTCTACACCACCACCAGGACCATTACAACACCACCACCATCGCCACCTCACCCCCACTACCTCTCCACCATCTCACCACCACACTGCTACCCCTACAACACCACCTCACCACCACCACCACACTACCACCACACCATCACCACCTCACCACCACACCGCTACCCCTACAACACCACCACCTCACCACCACCACACCACCACCACCATCGCCACCACCAACACCTCTCCACCACGACCTCACCACTACCTCACCACCACCTCACCACTGCCACCTCTACACCACCACAACTACCACACCACCTCTACACCATCACCACACCACCATCACACCACCCTTCAACTCACCAAAGTAGGCCGCTCTTTTGCGAGCTTTCTCCACCATTTCTTTTGGAGGCATGCCCAGGATCTATGCAACCGTTTCAAGACAAAGACACAGAGAGACACACGCATGTTACACGGATGTTACACGCGTGTTACACACGGGGACCTATAGAGAGACCCAGAGGTCCAGAGACTCATATATAATCATTGGAATCCACAGAGACCCACACTAAAACTGAATTATTTTTATTTCACCAAGTAAGGCCCCACTGAGCTACGTTTTTCATCGGCCGTACGACGGAAGACCTGAACGTGACATTATCGTTGTTGCTCAGCGCATCTAGCATCATGGGTGAGTAGGTGGGTGGGTAAGTGGGTGGGTGAGTGGGTGGATGAGTGGGTGGGTGAGTGGATGGGTGAGTGGGTGGGTAGGTGGGTGAGTGAGTGGGTGGGTAGGTCGGTGGGTGTGTAGGTGGGTGGGTGACTGGGTGGGTAGGTGGGTGGGTCAACGAGTAGGTGGGTGGGTGGGTGAGGGGGTGGGTGAGTGGGTGGGTAGGTGGATGAATGAGTGGGTGGGTAGGTAGGTGGGTGAGTGGGTGGTTACGTGGGTGTGTAGGTGGGTGGGTGGCTGGGTAAGTAGGTGGGTGAGTGGGAGGGTAAGTAGGTAGATGGGTGGGTGAGTAAGTGGATGGGTAGGTAGGTGGGTGGGTAGGTAGGTGAGTGGGAGGGTGGGTGGTTGGGTGGCTGGTTGGGTGACTGGCTGACAGGGTTGGTTGACTGAGTGACTAGCTGGGTGACTGGCTGGCTGTGCGCCAGGTCGTCGCTCGATGCCCCCCAGGGAGGCTCTCCAGTCACCTCGATACAGCATGCCAGGTGGTCGTCGCGGCTGAACGAGAGGAAGAGGTCCCTGTCGGTGGCCAGCTTGGCTACGGTGCATCCCAGCGACCATGTGTCCACAGCACAGGTCGCCGGGTAGCCGAGAAGCACCTCAGGGGCCACGTATGCGAGGGTTGCTCCCACGTGCGAGGCTGTGCAGACGACAACAACAGCAGCGGTGATGATGATGATGAATGTAGACTGGGTACGTGTGTGTAGGTGGGTAAGTGTGTGTAGGTGGGTGGGTGGGTTGGGTGGCTGGGGCGGTGGCTGGGTGGGTGGGTGGATGGTTGGGTGGGTGAGTGGGTGGGTGGGTGAGTGGGTAGATGGCTGGCTGGGTGGATGGGTGGGTGGATGGCTGGCTGGCTGGGTGGATGGGTGGGTGGATGGCTGGGTGGGTGGGTGGGTGAGTGGGTGGGTGGGTGAGTGGGTGGTTGGGGGATGGGTGTGTGGGTGGCTGGATGGGCAGGTCAGTGGGTGAGTGGGTGGGTGGCTGGATGGGTCAGTGGGTGGATGGGTGGGTGGGTGCATAGATGGATGGGTGGGTGGGTGTATGGCTGGGTGGATGAGTGGGTGGATGCCTGGATGGGTGGGTGGATGGCTGGGTGGGTGGATGGATGGGTAGGTGTGTGGGTGGATGGCTGGGTGGGTGGGTGGATGGATGGATGGCTGGGTGGGTGGATGGATGGCTGGGTAGGTGGATGGATAGATGGATGGGTGAGTGGGTGTATGGGTGGATGGGTGTGTGGGTGGGTGGCTGGATGGGGGGGTGGGTGGCTGGATGGGGGGGTCGGTGGGTGGATGGATGGCTGGCTGGCTGGCTAGGTGAGTGGGTGGGTGAGTGGGTGGCTGGATGGCTGAGTGGGTGGGTAGGTGAGTGGGTGGCTGGATGGCTGGGTGGGTGGATGGCTGGGTGGGTGGGTGGATGGCTGGGTGGGTGGATAGGTGGGTAGATGAGTGGGTGGATGAGTGGGTGGGTGGGTGGGTGGATGGATAGATGGATGGATGGGTGGGTGAGTGGGTGGCTGGGTCAGTGGCTGGGTGGCTGGGTCAGTGGCTGGGTGGCTGGGTCAGTGGCTGCGTGGGTGGGTGAATGGCTGGCTGGCTGGGTGGGTGAGTGGGTGGATGGCTGGGTGTGTGGATGGGTGGATGGCCGGGTGGGTGGGTAGGTGAGTGGGTGGGTGGGTGGGTGGATGGCTGGGTGGGTGGGTGGGTGGATGGATGGCTGGGTGGGTGGGTGGGTGGATGGATGGCTGGGTGGGTGGATGGGTGGGTGGATGGGTTGATGGGTGGGTGGATGGGTTGATGGGTGAATGGATGTGTGGGTGGGTGGGTGGGTGAGCGGGTGGATGGGCGGGTTTGAGCGGGTGGATGGATGGGTGGATGGGTGGATGGGTGGGTGGTTCTGCGTGTGGATGGATGGATGGGTGGGTGGGTGGATGGATGGGTGAGTGGATGGGTGGATGGGTGGGTGGATGGGTGGGTGGGTGTGTGGGTGGATGGGTGGGTGGGTGGATGGATGGATGGGTGGGTGGGTGGGTGGATGGATGGATAGATGGATGGCTGGGTGGGTGAGTGGGTGGCTGGGTCAGTGGCTGGGTGGCTGGGTCAGTGGCTGGGTGGCTGGGTCAGTGGCTGCGTGGGTGGGTGAATGGCTGGGTGGCTGGGTGGGTGAGTGGGTGGGTGAGTGGGTGGATGGCTGGGTGTGTGTGTGGGTGGGTGGGTGGGTGGATGGATGGCTGGGTGGGTGGGTGGATGGGTGGGTGGATGGGTTGATGGGTGAATGGATGTGTGGGTGGGTGGGTGAGCGGGTGGATGGGCGGGTTTGAGCGGGTGGATGGGTGGGTGGATGGGTGGGTGGGTGGGTGGATGGATGGATGGATGGTGGTGGATGGATGGATGGATGGGTGGATGGATGGATGGGTGGATGGGTGGATGGGTGGGTGGGTGGATGGGTGGTTGGGTGGATGGGTGGGTGGGTGTGTGGGTGGATAGGTGTGTGGGTGGATGGGTGGGTGGGTGTGTGGGTGGATAGGTGAGTGGGTGGATGGCTGGGTGTGTGTGTGGGTGGGTGGATGGCCGGGTGGGTGGGTAGGTGAGTGGGTGGCTGGATGGCTGGGTGGGTGGGTGGATGGCTGGGTGGGTGGGTGGATGGATGGCTGGGTGGGTGGGTGGATGGGTGGGTGGATGGGTTGATGGGTGAATGGATGTGTGGGTGGGTGGGTGAGCGGGTGGATGGGCGGGTTTGAGCGGGTGGATGGGTGGGTGGATGGGTGGATGGATGGATGGGTGGATGGATGGATGGGTGGGTGGATGGGTGGATGGGTGGGTGGGTGGGTGGGTGGGTGGATGGGTGGGTGGGTGGATGGGTGGATGGGTGGGTGGGTGGGTGGATGGGTGGATGGGTGGGTGGGTGGATGGCTGGGTGGGTGGATGGCTGGGTGGGTGGGTGGATGAATGGATGGATAGATGGATGGGTGGGTGGGTGGATGGGTCAGTGGCTGGGTGGGTGGATGGCTGGGTGGGTGGGTGCATGGATGGATAGATGGATGGGTGGGTGGGTGAGTGGGTGGGTGGGTGGATGGGTGGGTGGATGGGTGGGTGGATGGGTGGGTGGCTTGATGGTGGGTCGGTGGGTGAGTTGATGGGTGGGTGGATAGATGGGTTGATGGGCAAATGGATGTGTAGGTGGGTGGATGGGTGGGTGGGTAAGTAGGTGGGTGGATGGGCCAGTGGGTGGGTGGATAGGTGGGTGGATTAGTGGGTGGATGTGCTGGGTGGATGGGTGGGTGGATGGGTGGGTGGGTGGGTGGATGGATGGGTGGGTGGATGGGTGGGTGGATGGGTGTGTGGGGGTGTCAGTGGGTGGATGAGTAGGTGGGTGGGTGAGTGAGTGGGTGGATGGATGGGTGGGTGTGTGAGGGTGTCAGTGGGTGGATGAGTAGGTGGGTGGGTGAGTGAGTAGGTGGATGGATGGGTGGGTGTGTGTGTGTGTGTCTCCACCAATCCACACCCACTCACACATGTTTGTGCGTGTGGGGGGTGTCCACTCACTTTTGCCGTCCACAAAAAAGCTTGAGGCGAAGTTCCTGACCCTGACGATGCCGTCCGCGATGTTCGTCAACAGAACGTTGCTCTGGACGGGGAGCGAGCGGCAGGGAGGAAATTCACACCCAGAATGGTCAAGGCGGTGAGTGTCGTCTACGACCGAGCGTCTGTGCAGGGGGACTGCCTCCGCTCACAAACGTTGGACTTACGGACGTTTCAGAGATATGCGCAAAATAAGTATAACCCGTAAAAACTAAGTTTTTCACTATAAATCCTTTATATGCCTGGCAGCGAACTTAATATAAAGGATTTAAAAATATATTCACCTGTGGAGGACGCGGGGATCGACCCCGCGACCTTTGGCATGGGAAGCGAGGGCGCTACCAACTACGCTACTCCGCCACGGCCTGTGGAGGGGTTATGCTCTGGGCTCTTATACTGTGACGTTCAACCAAAGCCAATAATGAGTTCTATTTGAATATATGTAAAATAATTTTTTTTTGCCTAAAAAGTGTAAAATTTTGGGAATTTTTTTCACGAACATTAAGTGTCTGGCACAACGAGTCTGTGTGGAAAATGTCAGCTCGATTGGATAACGGGAAGTGGGTTAAAAAACGACCGAAAGATTTGCACGGTCGTAAGCAAGCAAGCACGCAAGCAAGCATGCGAACTTAATATAAAGGATTTAAAAAACAGTGACATCTACATCTGCAGAACGTGAAGAACCTGTGGCATCTACAGAATGTGAAGAACCAGTGGTATCTACGTCTGCAGAACGTGAAGAACCAGTGGCATCTACATCTGCAGAAAATGTAGAACCATTTGCATCTACATCTGCAGAAAATGTAGAACCATTTGCATCTACATCTACAGAACGTCAAGAACCAGTGGCATCTATATCTACAGAACGTGAAGAACCAGTGGCATCTACATCTACAGAACGTGACGGACCAGTGGCATCTACATCTGCGGAACGTGAAAAACTAGTGGCATCTACATCTACAGAACGTGAAGAACCAGTGGAATCTACATCTGCAGAACGTGAAGAACCAGTGGCATCTACATCTACAGAAAATGTAGAACCATTTGCATCCACATCTGCAAAACACGAAGAATGAGTGGCATCTACATCTGCAGAACGTGAAGAACCAGTGACATATACATCTGCAGATCGTGAAGAACCAGTGGGATCTAGATCTACAGAACGTGAAGAACCAGTGGTGTCTACATCGGCAGAACATGAAGAACCAGTGGCATCTACATCTGCAGAACGTGAAGAACCAGTGACATCTACATCTGCAGAATGTGAAGAACCAGTGGAATCTACATCTGCAAAACGTGAAGAACCAGGGACATCTACATCCGCAGAACATGAAGAAGCAGTGGCATCTACATCTGCAGAACATGAAGTACCAGTGGCATCTACATCTGCAGAACATGAAGAACCATTGGCATCTACATCTGCAGAACATGAAGAACCAGTGGCATCTACATCTGCAGAACGTGAAGAACCTGTGGCATCTACATCAACAGAACAGGAAAAACCAGTGGAATCGACATCTACAGAACGTGAAGAACCAGTGGCATCTACATCTACAGAACGTGAAGAACCAGTGGTATCTATATCTGCAGAACGTGAAGAACCAGTGGCATCTACATCTGCAGAAAATGTAGAACCATTTGCATCTACATCTGCAGAACATGAAGAACGAATGGCATCTACATCTACAGAACATGAAGAACCAGTGGCATCTACATCTACAGAACGTGACAGACCAGTGGCATCTACATCTACAGAACGTGAAGAACCAGTGGAATCTACATCTACAGAACGTGAAGAATCAGTAGCATCTACATATACAGGACGTGAAGACATTGTGGCATCTACATCAACAGAACGTGAAGAACCAGTGGCATCTACATGTACAGAACGTGAAGAACCAGTGGCATCTATATCTACAGAACGTGAAAAACCAGTGACATCTACATCTGCAGAACGTGAATAACCTGTGGCATCTACATCAACAGAACAGGAAAAACATGTGGCACCTACAGAACGGGAAGAACCAGTGATATCTACATCTGCAGAACGTGAAGAATCAGTTGCATCTACATCTGCAGAACATGAAGAACAATTTGCATCTACATCTGCAGAACATGAAGAATGAGTGGCATCTATATCTACAGAACATGAAGAACCAGTGGCATCTGCATCTGCAGAATGTGAAGAACCAGTGGCATCTACAAAACGTGAAAAACCACTGGCATCTACATCTGCAGAACGCGAAGAACCAGTGGCATCTACAGAACGTGAAGAACCAGTGGCCTCTACAGAACGTGAAGAACCATTGGCATCTACATCCAAAGAACATGAAAAACCAGTGGCATCTACATCTGTAGAATGTGAAGAACCAGTGGTATCTACATCTGCAGAACGTGAAGAACCAGTGGCATCTACATATACATAACGTGAAGAAAGAGTGGCATCTACAGAACGTGAAGAACCAGTGGCATTTACATCTAAAGAAAGTGACGGACCAGTGGCATGTACATCTACAGAACGTGAAGAACCAGTGGCATCTACATGTACAGAACGTGAAGAATGAGTGGCATCTACAGAACGTGAAGGACCAGTGGCATCTACATCTACAAAACGTGAAGAACCAGTGGCATCTACATCTACAAAACGTAAAGAACCAGTGGTATGTACATCTACAGAACATGAAGAACCAGTGACAGCTACATCCGCAGAACATGAAGAACCAATGGCATCTACATTTGCAGAACGTGAAAACCCAGTGGAAACCACATCTGCAGAACGTAACGAACCAGTGGTATCTATACTCTTTGTTTTTTTCGGTAAAGTCACGTAGGTATAAAATAAAATAAATGAAATCATGACGTTCCATTGCAACACAAGCAATCATCAGCTGGGAAAACCACTGCAAGAAAATGTTTTGCTGAAGTGGGAGAGATAGTTGCTGTAGTAAGAGGTTTTCCAGGCAAGAAAGGGGGAGGAGCAAGGGAGAGGGAGGTGTGGGCATGTGGGGTAGGGGGAGGGGAAGCGCTGCGTGGACGCCAAGAAAGGGACGCGAGGCAGGGGGGGGGGGGAAGTGGGCGGGGCTGGGAGTGGGAGGCCGAGAGAGCTGGGGATGCGGAGGGGAACAAAACAGAGTAGTAGTACCCGGCAGATATGATAGACGACAACCACTACAGAGCAGTTAGGGTTTTACGTATATAATAATATCCTTCCAATGATTGCTCAATTTGTATCCATCTTCTCGGTTGAAGTTATGTCTATGTTTATATATCTGGATGGCTTCATGAACAAACCTTTGATAGTAGCCCGAAGGTTTGTAGAGTACCTTGGTCTCGGAAAAAAACAATATCATAAGAGCCCACAGCGTTATAATAATGGTCAGCTACGGCAGAGATATTGGTTCTGCCGTGTTTCAGATCTGCCTTGTGTTCGCGAACACAGTCCGAGATGTGTTGTTTCGTTTCCCCAATGTAACAGCCATACACCCATCCATCTAATTCACCATGGAAGTGAAGAAGGATGTTAAGCTACCATTTCTGGGTGTTTTGTTTGAGAAGAGGCCTGACGGCTCGTTGGGACACTGTCTACAGGAAAGCCACCCACACAGATTCCTATCTGAAACCTGATTACCACCCCCACCTGGCACAGACTAATTCCCTCGTCAAAACACTACACTATAGGGCCCACTGCATTTCTGACCAACACCACCTAGCCAGTGAACTGGAACACGGACACCAGGCCCTCAAGATGAATGGGTACTTGGACCACATTATTCGCAAAGCTGTTTCTCCAACCATGGAGAAACAACCCCCTGAGATGCCAATCAAAACCATCAAGTTACCATACATAGCAGGTGTTACCAAAAAGATTTCCAAAATCTTAAACAAACACAAGATCCAGGTCCGATTCAATACAGTACACAAAATCTGTTATCTAATCCCATCTGTGAAGGATGTCATTGCTGACATGCAATATCCTGGAGTCTACAAAATAAGTTGCACCTGTGGTGGCTGTTACATTGGGGAAACGAAACGACATATCTCGGACCGTGTTCGCGAACACAATGCAGATCTGAAACCCGGCAGAACCAATACCTCTGCCGTAGCTGACCATTGTTATAACGCTGTGGGCTCGCATGATATTGTTTTTTTCCGAGACCAAGGTACTCTGCAAACCTTCGGGCTACTATCAAAGGTTTGTTCATGAAGCCATCCAGATATATAAACATAGACATAACATCAACCGAGAAGATGGATACAAATTGAGCAATTATTGGAAGGATGTTATTAACCAGGTAAAACCCTAACTGCTTTGTAGTGGTTATCGTCTATCATATCTGTCGGGTACTACTACTCTATTTTGTTCCTCTCCGCATCCCCAGCTCTCACGGTCACCAACTCCCAGCCCCGCCCACTTCCCTCCCCCCCAGCCTCGCATCACTCTCCTGGTGTCCACGCAGAGCTTCCCCTCCCTCTCCCCCCTTGCTCCTCCCCCAATCTTGCCTGTGTAGTAGGTTCAAAAAGACTTGGATGACGTAGTCGGAGGCACACTTATTTATTAACCGTTCCACTCTATACAGGCCAAGGTATACAACACTCGAAGGGGTTCATCTTCTTGGTTCTTTCGGTAAAGTCACGTCTATCTACGTGACTTTACCGAAAGAACCAAGAAGATGAATCCCTGCAGTCACGAAAGCTTTAAATCGAAACTCGAAGGGGTATTGGCCCCTTCACCCGTCTAACAGGGAGATCCCACAATCTATCCCGGCTAGCTTACTCCCAGGTCCTCCACTACAGAGCTAGGGGAGGCTAGCTGACCCAGCTCTGGCCAAGCTGGGATTACGGCACCCTGAGTCCCCAGACCGGCTCTTACAAGAACATCGGCTCTGGGCTCTCGGGGCCACGCCACTGGCTTGCCCTGGTTGGTCCTTAGAAGGACGGCGATCCAGGGGAGTCCCAGGGCCTATCTAGCCGGCCTTCCTTCTTCACTGGTTTAAGCTAAACACTGAACCCCGAGTCCACCAGCTCACCGCCTTATATAGCAACTCCCCCACCGAGGGGTGGGGCCGTGGGGGATCACAGTGCCATTTCAGCCCCCCAGGCTAAACGATGCGGACGTGGATGTAAGCATCCTTCCATGTGCGGGCATAACCACCCTTCCATGTGCGGGCATAACCACCCCTGGTGTGTTTGTTCGCCCTCCCGTAACACCTCTACACCTGTATAACCTCTTACCACGGCAACTCTCTCTCTCCCACTTTAGCAAAAAAAATTATTGCTGTGGTTTTCCCACCTGATGATTGCTTGTGTTGCAATCGAAACGTCATGATTTAATTTATTTTATTTTATATCTACGTGACTTTACCAAAATAACCAAAGGGTATGGATCCCTGCAGTCACAAAAACTTCAAATCTAGATCAGTGGTATCTACATCTACAGAACGTGAAAAACCAGTGACATCTACATCTGCAGAACGTGAAGAACCGTCTCACATTTACATGCTAATCTCTAATCTCGAGCAAAACAATGGCTTCTTCAGCACCGTAACCGTGGGGGGTTACATTAACAGATTGACATGCTAATCTCTAGCAATGTAATGGCCGAGGTTTACCTAGCTCTGCGATCTTACATTTATTTGCAAATACCATCTCTAGCCCCGCCCACTTACCCTTGGGTAGTACCCATCTCAAACCTTTATAACCTATGGCTGCAATAGCTCTCTCGCTATATTTATTTTTTTTTTACCTGAAGACGATTGCTTTTGTTGCGATCGAAACGTCGTGATTTTTTAATATTTGATTTTTTCTATCTACGTGACTTTACCGAAAGACCCAAATAGTATGAAAAACCAGTGGCATTTACATCTGCAGAACATGAAGAACCAGTGACATCTACATCTGCAGAACTTGAATAATCAGTGGCATTTACATTGGCAGAACATTAAGAACCAGTAAAATCTACATCTGCAGAACATGAAAAACCAGTGGCATTTAAATCTGCAGAGCGAGCATCAGCGCCCCAGCATGTACTCACCCACACACACAAACACCCACATACACACACTCACACACAAACGCCCCCACACACAAGCACACACACTCACACACAGACACCCACACACAGACACCCACACACAGAGACACCCATACACACAGACACCCATACACACAGACACCCATACACAGCGTGCACTCCACTCACGGGCTTGATGTCTCCGTGTACGATGCCCCGGGACTTGGTGTGGGCCAAGAAGTGGAGGATGGACCTAGTGTACGACCTCACCGCGTCCTCGTAACTTTGCCACAGCGTCATCTCTCTGAGCACACAATGGAGTTTCGCCCTGCCATGCGAAGAGACAGCGACCACGTCAGTGACGTCAGCGACGACGTCAGCGACGACATCAGTGACAGCATCGGTTAGTGTCCTGCGCTGCAAACCTGGCGAACCGGGCTCGATTCCCGCTCATGGCCAACACCCAGTGATGATTATCTGAACCGGTCCTGGGCCTACCCTAGGTCGACTCAGCCTCAAATGAGTACCTGGTGCGATGTGTAAACATCACCACTGGGGAGACAAAGGTGGCCGCGTGTGGTGTTGACCACCCACCTCCTCGTGTGCCGTTCCGGCCTTTATAGGTGCTCGCTAACAGCACTTGCCGCTACATCTGTTAAGGCTTTATGGGGGATCTTTGATCTTTGTGTGCGTATGTTGAAATTCATGCACACCGTACGTAGCCAAGCGTGCTAATGTGTGGGTCTCTATGGGTGTCTGTGTGGGTGTCTCTGTGGGTTTTTATGGGTCTCTGTGGGTCTGGGTGTCTGTGTTTCTCTGTGTGTGTGCATATGTTGAACTTCTGTCGCACCATATGTAGCCAACCGTGCTAATGTGTGGGTCTCTATTGGTGTCTGGGTGGGTGTCTATGTGGGTCCCAATGAGTCTCTGTGTCTAGTTGTCTGTGGATCTCTGTGTGTAAACGTATGCAGAACTTATTTTGCACCATACGTAGCCAACCGTACTAATGTATGGGTCTCTATGGGTGTCTCTGTGGTTTTATGGGTCTCTGTTAGTGTCTGTGGGTCTCTGGGTCTGGTGTCTGTGGGTCTCTATGTTCGAATTTTGAACTTCTTTTGCACCATTTGTAGCCAACTGTGCTAATGTATGGGTGTCTATGGGTCTGTATGGGTGGTGGTGGTGTTGTGGTGGTGGTGGTGGTGTTGTGGTGGTGGTGGTGTTTGGTGGTGGGTGGTGGTGGATGGGTGGTGGGGGGTGGGTGTGGCTGTGGTGATGGTGGGTGGTTGGGTGGGTGGTGTGGTGGGTGGGTGGTGGAGGGTGAGTGGGTGACTGAGTGGGTGGGTTGATGGGTGAGTGGTGGTGGTGAGTGAGTCAGTGAGTGGTGGTGAGTGGCGGTGAGTGGTGGTGAGTGAGTGGGTGAGTGGTGGTGAGTGGTGGTGAGTGAGTGGGTGAGTGAGTGGTGGTGAGTGGTGGTGAGTGGGTGAGTGGTGGTGAATGAGTGAGTGGGTGGAGGTGGTGATGGTGAGTAAGTCGGTGGTGGTGGTGAATGAGTGGGTGATGATGAGTGAGTGAATTAGTGAGTGGGCGAGTGAGTGAGTGTTGGTGGCGAGTGAATGAGTGAGTGGTAGTAGCGGTACTGGTGGTGTGCGTACTTCAATAGCTCCATGACAAGGCATTTGTGTCCTCGAAAGTAGAAAGTCTCCAGGACCCTGGCTACATTATAGTCCACGTCGCTACAGTCGCTCTGGAGCTCCATGGACATCTGCAGCTCCGTTGTCTGGTGCTTTTCTTCCCTGGAGCTGCGAGCGAGTGAGCGAGTGCACAGAACGAGAGAGAGACAGAGAGACAGATAGAGAGAAAGAGCGAAACAGAAAGAGACAGAGACATAAAGAAACAGAGATCAAGACAGAGAGACAGGGAGAGAGAGAGAGAGAGAGACAGACGGAGACAGAGAGTTTAGACTTTAATATAGAAATGGCCACAATTATGCGGGCAGTGGGTCTGTGTGTGAAACACTGAGCAGTAGAAGTGGGTCTGTGTGTGTAACACTGAGTAGTAGTGGTGGGTCTGTGTGTGTAACACTGAGTAGTAGTAGTGGGTCTGTGTGTGTAACACTGAGCAGTAGTAGTGGGTCTGTGTGTGTAACACTGAGTTGTAGTGGGTCTGTGTGTGTAACACTGCGTAGTAGTGGGTCTGTGTGTGTAACACTGAGTAGTAGTAGTGGGTCTGAGTGTGTAACACTGAGTAGTAGTGGGTCTGTGTGTGTAACACTGAGTAGTAGTAGTGGGTCTGTGTGTGCAACACTGAGTAGTAGTAGTGGGTCTGTGTGTGCAACACTGAGCAGTAGTAGTGGGACTGTGTGTGTAACACTGAGTAGTAGTAGTGGGTCTATGTGTGTAACACTGAGTAGTAGTAGTGGGTCTGTGTGTGTAACACTGAGCAGTAGTAGTGGGTCTGTGTGTGTAACACTGAGTAGTAGTAGTGGGTCTGTGTGTGTAACACTGAGTAGTAGTAGTGGGTCTGTGTGTGTAACACTGAGTAGTAGTAGTGGGTCTGTGTGTGTAACACTGAGTAGTAGTAGTGGGTCTGTGTGTGTAACACTGAGTAGTAGTAGTGGGTCTGTGTGCGTAACACTGAATAGTAGTAGTGGGTATGTGTGCGTAACACTGAGTAGTAGTAGTACGTCTGTGTGTGTAACACTGAGTAGTAGTAGTAGTGGGTATGTGTGTGTAACACTGAGTAGTAGTAGTTGGTTTGTGTGTGTAACACTGAGTAGTAGTAGTAGTGGATCTGAGTGTGTAACACTGCGTAGTAGTGGGTCTGTGTGTGTAACACTGAGTAGTAGTAGTGGGTTTGTGTATGTAACACTGAGTAGTAGTAGTGGGTCTGAGTGTGTAACACTGCGTAGTAGTAGTGGGTCTGTGTGTGCAACACTGAGTAGTAGTAGTGGGACTGTGTGTGTAACACTGAGTAGTAGTAGTGGGACTGTGTGTGTAACACTGAGTAGTAGTAGTGGGTCTGAGTGTGTAACACTGAGTAGTAGTGGGTCTGTGTGTGTAACACTGAGTAGTAGTAGTGGGACTGTGTGTGTAACACTGAGTAGTAGTAGTGGGTATGTGTGTGTAACACTGAGCAGTAGTAGTGGGTCTGTGTGTGTAACACTGAGTAGTAGTAGTGGGTCTGTGTGTGTAACACTGAGTAGTAGTAGTGGGTCTGAGTGTGTAACACTGAGTTGTAGTAGTGGGTTTGTGTATGTAACACTGAGTAGTAGTAGTAGTGGGTCTGTGTGTGTAACACTGCGTAGTAGTAGTGGGTCTGTGTGTGTAACACTGAGTAGTAGTAGTGGGTTTGTGTATGTAACACTGAGTAGTAGTAGTAGTGGGTCTGAGTGTGTAACACTGCGTAGTAGTGGGTCTGTGTGTGTAACACTGTGTAGTAGTAGTGGGTCTGTGTGTGTAACACTAAGTTGTAGTGGGTTTGTGTGTGTAACACTGCGTAGTAGTGGGTCTGTGTGTGTAACACTGAGTAGTAGTAGTGGGTCTGTGTGTGCAACACTGAGTAGTAGTAGTGGGTCTGTGTGTGTAACACTGAGCAGTAGTAGTGGGTCTGTGTGTGTAACACTGAGTTGTAGTGGGTCTGAGTGTGTAACACTGAGTAGTAGTAGTGGGTCTGTGTGTGTAACACTGAGTAGTAGTAGTGGGTCTGTGTGTGTAACACTGAGTAGTAGTAGTGGTTCTGTGTGTGTAACACTGAGTAGTAGTAGTGGGTCTGTGTGTGTAACACTGAGCAGTAGTAGTGGGTCTGTGTGTGTAACACTGAGTTGTAGTGGGTCTGAGTGTGTAACACTGAGTAGTAGTAGTGGGTCTGTGTGTGTAACACTGAGTAGTAGTAGTGGGTCTGTGTGTGTAACACTGAGCAGTAGTAGTGGGTCTGTGTGTGTAACACTGAGTAGTAGTAGTGGGTCTGTGTGTGTAACACTGAGCAGTAGTAGTGGGTCTGTGTGTGTAACACTGAGTAGTAGTAGTGGGTCTGTGTGTGCAACACTGAGTAGTAGTAGTGGGTCTGTGTGTGTAACACTGAGTTGTAGTGGGTCTGTGTGTGTAACACTGAGTAGTAGTAGTGGGTCTGTGTGTGTAACACTGAGTAGTAGTAGTGGGTCTGTGTGCGTAACACTGAATAGTAGTAGTGGGTATGTGTGCGTAACACTGAGTAGTAGTAGTACGTCTGTGTGTGTAACACTGAGTAGTAGTAGTAGTGGGTATGTGTGTGTAACACTGAGTAGTAGTAGTTGGTTTGTGTGTGTAACACTGAGTAGTAGTAGTAGTGGATCTGAGTGTGTAACACTGCGTAGTAGTGGGTCTGTGTGTGTAACACTGAGTAGTAGTAGTGGGTTTGTGTATGTAACACTGAGTAGTAGTAGTGGGTCTGAGTGTGTAACACTGCGTAGTAGTAGTGGGTCTGTGTGTGCAACACTGAGTAGTAGTAGTGGGACTGTGTGTGTAACACTGAGTAGTAGTAGTGGGACTGTGTGTGTAACACTGAGTAGTAGTAGTGGGTCTGAGTGTGTAACACTGAGTAGTAGTGGGTCTGTGTGTGTAACACTGAGTAGTAGTAGTGGGACTGTGTGTGTAACACTGAGTAGTAGTAGTGGGTATGTGTGTGTAACACTGAGCAGTAGTAGTGGGTCTGTGTGTGTAACACTGAGTAGTAGTAGTGGGTCTGTGTGTGTAACACTGAGTAGTAGTAGTGGGTCTGAGTGTGTAACACTGAGTTGTAGTAGTGGGTTTGTGTATGTAACACTGAGTAGTAGTAGTAGTGGGTCTGTGTGTGTAACACTGCGTAGTAGTAGTGGGTCTGTGTGTGTAACACTGAGTAGTAGTAGTGGGTTTGTGTATGTAACACTGAGTAGTAGTAGTAGTGGGTCTGAGTGTGTAACACTGCGTAGTAGTGGGTCTGTGTGTGTAACACTGTGTAGTAGTAGTGGGTCTGTGTGTGTAACACTAAGTTGTAGTGGGTTTGTGTGTGTAACACTGCGTAGTAGTGGGTCTGTGTGTGTAACACTGAGTAGTAGTAGTGGGTCTGTGTGTGCAACACTGAGTAGTAGTAGTGGGTCTGTGTGTGTAACACTGAGCAGTAGTAGTGGGTCTGTGTGTGTAACACTGAGTTGTAGTGGGTCTGAGTGTGTAACACTGAGTAGTAGTAGTGGGTCTGTGTGTGTAACACTGAGTAGTAGTAGTGGGTCTGTGTGTGTAACACTGAGTAGTAGTAGTGGTTCTGTGTGTGTAACACTGAGTAGTAGTAGTGGGTCTGTGTGTGTAACACTGAGCAGTAGTAGTGGGTCTGTGTGTGTAACACTGAGTTGTAGTGGGTCTGAGTGTGTAACACTGAGTAGTAGTAGTGGGTCTGTGTGTGTAACACTGAGTAGTAGTAGTGGGTCTGTGTGTGTAACACTGAGCAGTAGTAGTGGGTCTGTGTGTGTAACACTGAGTAGTAGTAGTGGGTCTGTGTGTGTAACACTGAGCAGTAGTAGTGGGTCTGTGTGTGTAACACTGAGTAGTAGTAGTGGGTCTGTGTGTGCAACACTGAGTAGTAGTAGTGGGTCTGTGTGTGTAACACTGAGTTGTAGTGGGTCTGTGTGTGTAACACTGAGTAGTAGTAGTGGGTCTGTGTGTGTAACACTGAGTAGTAGTAGTGGGTCTGTGTGTGTAACACTGAGTAGTAGTAGTGGGTCTGTGTGTGTAAGATTGAGTAGTAGTAGTGGGTCTGTGTGTGTAACACTGAGTAGTAGTGGGTCTGTGTGCGTAACACTGAATAGTAGTAGTGGGTATGTGTGCGTAACACTGAGTAGTAGTAGTAGGTCTGTGTGTGTAACACTGAGTAGTAGTGGGTATGTGTGTGTAACACTGAGTAGTAGTAGTGGGTTTGTGTATGTAACACTGAGTAGTAGTAGTAGTGGGTCTGAGTGTGTAACACTGCGTAGTAGTAGTGGGTCTGTGTGTGCAACACTGAGTAGTAGTAGTGGGACTGTATGTGTAACACTGAGTAGTAGTAGTGGGTCTGTGTGTGCAACACTGAGTAGTAGTAGTGGGACTGTGTGTGTAACACTGAGTAGTAGTAGTGGGTCTGAGTGTGTAATACTGAGTAGTAGTGGGTCTGTGTGTGTAACACTGAGTAGTAGTAGTGGGTCTGAGTGTGTAACACTGAGTTGTAGTGGGTCTGTGTGTGTAACACTGAGTAGTAGTAGTGGGACTGTGTGTGTAACACTGAGTAGTAGTAGTGGGTCTGTGTGTGCAACACTGAGCAGTAGTAGTGGGACTGTGTGTGTAACACTGAGTAGTAGTAGTGGGTCTGTGTGTGTAACACTGAGCAGTAGTAGTGGGTCTGTGTGTGTAACACTGAGTAGTAGTAGTGGGTCTGTGTGTGTAACACTGAGCAGTAGTAGTGGGTCTGTGTGTGTAACACTGAGTAGTAGTAGTGGGTCTGTGTGTGTAACACTGAGTAGTAGTAGTGGGTATGTGTGTGTAACACTGAGTAGTAGTAGTGGGTCTGTGTGTGTAACACTGAGCAGTAGTAGTGGGTCTGTGTGTGTAACACTGAGTAGTAGTAGTGGGTCTGTGTGTGTAACACTGAGTAGTAGTAGTGGGTCTGTGTGTGTAACACTGAGTAGTAGTAGTGGGTCTGTGTGGGTAACACTGAGTAGTAGTAGTGGGTCTGTGTGTGTAACACTGAGTAGTAGTAGTGGGTCTGTGTGTGTAACACTGAGTAGTAGTGGGTATGTGTGTGTAACACTGATAGTAGT